ATTTTCTAATTGTGGGACGTGTCTGGGAATCTTAAGAACATAAGAACATAAGAACATAAGAACATAAGAGATGCCAATGTTGGATCAGGCCAAAGGCCCATCCAGTCCAACACTCTGTATCCCACAGTGGCCAGAAATACCAGTGCCATCAGGAGGTCCACCAGTGGGGCCAGGACATTAGAAGCCCTCCCACTGTTGACCCCCCCCCCAAGCACCAAGATGACAGAGCATCACTTGCCCCAGAGTCCCTATCTATACCTTGTGGCTAATAGCCACTGATGGACCTCTGCTCCATATGCTTATCTAATTCCCTTTTGAAGCCGTCCATGCTTGTAGCTGCCACTATTTCCTGTGGCAGTGAATTCCAAGTGTTAATCACTCTTTGGGTGAAGAAGTACTTCCTTTTATCTGTTCTAACCCGACCGCTCAGCAATTTCATGGAGTGCCCACGGGTTCTTGTATTGTGAGAAAGGGAGAAAAGTACCTCTTTCTCTACCTGCTCTTTCCCATGCATAATCTTATAAACCTCAATCATGTCACCCCTCAGTCGTCGTTTCTCCAAGCTAAAGAGCCCTAAGCGCCTTAACCTTTCCTCATAGGGAAAGTGTTCCAACCCTTTTATCATTCGAGTTGCTCTTTTCTGCACTTTTTCCAAAGCTATAATATCCTTTTTAAGGTGTGGTGACCAGAATTGCACACAGTATTCCAGATGAGGTCGCACCATTGATTTATATAGCGGCATTATGATATTGGCTGATCTGTTTACAATACCCTTCCTAATAATCCCCAGCATAGCATTGGCCTTCTTTATTGCAGTCACACACTGTCTCGACATTTTCAGTGAGTTATCTACTACAACTCCAAGATCTCTCTCTTGATCAGTCTCTGCCAGTTCAGACCCCATCAACGTGTATTTATATTTAGGATTTTTGGCTCCAATGTGCATCACCTTGCACTTGGCCACATTGAACCCCATTTGCCATGTTGACGCCCACTCGCCCAACTTTGACAGATCCCTTTGGAGTGCCTCACAATCCTCACTGGTTTTCACCACCCTGAACAACTTCGTATCATCCGCAAATTTAGCCACTTCACTGCTTACTCCCAACTCCAAATCATTAATGAACAAGTTAAAAAGCAGTGGACCAAGTACTGATCCCTGTGGTACCCCACTGCTTACACCCCTCCACTGGGAGAACTGCCCATTTATACTCACTCTCTGTTTTCTATTAATTAGCCAGTTTTTGATCCATAAAAGGACTTGTCCTTTTATCCCATGATTTTTGAGCTTACTTAGGAGCCTTTGATGAGGAACTTTATCAAAAGCTTTCTGGAAGTCAAGGTAAACAATATCTATTGGATCCCCCTTGTCCACATGTTTGTTCACCCCCTCAAAGAACATTAACAGGTTAGTGAGACAAGATCTTCCCTTACAGAACCCATGTTGAGTCTGCCTCAATAGGTTTTGTTCATCTATGTGCCTACTAATTCTTTCCTTAATAATGGTTTCCACCAATTTACCCGGTATCGACGTCAGACTGACTGGCCTGTAATTTCCCGGATCTCCTCTGGAACCCTTTTTAAAGATGGGAGTGACATTAGCTACCTTCCAGTCCTCAGGAATGGAGGCTGATTTTAAGGAGAGATTACATATTTTTGTCAGGAGATCCACAAGTTCACAATTGAGTTCTTTCAGAACTCTTGGATGTATGCCATCTGGGCCTGGTGATTTATCAGTTTTTAAGTTGTTTATCAGTTTTAGGACCTCCTCTCTCGTCACCTCAATCTGACTCAGGTCTTTCAACACCCCTCCCGAACTCAGCGGCTCTGGAGTGGGCAAGCACCTCTCATCTTCCACAGTGAAGACGGAGGCAAAAAATGCATTTAGCTTCTCAGCCATTTCCCTATCATCCTTCAGTACTCCTTTTACCCCTTGGTCATCCAAGGGCCCCACTGCCTCCCTGGCTGGTTTCCTGCTTCTAATGTATTTGAAGAAAGTTTTATTGTTGGTCTTTACATTTTTTGCTATATGCTCCTCATATTCCCTTTTTGCCTGCCTGACCACAGACTTGCATTTTATTTGCCATAGCCTGTGTTCTGTTTTATCAGCCTCACTGTGACTAGCTTTCCACCGCTTAAAGGAATCCTTTTTACCTTTTACAGCTTCCATTACTTTGTTTGTTAACCATGTAGGCTTTTTCTTATACCTGTTTGTGCCTTTCCTAACCTGCGGAATATATTTTATTTGAGCTTCTAGAATTGTAGTTTTAAACAGTTTCCAAGCTTCCCCAATGGTTTTGACCCTTTCTACTTTTCCCTTCAGTTTCCTCCCCACATGTCCCCTCATATCAGAAAAATTACCCCTTTTAAAGTTAAAAGTGGTTGTGTGAGTCTTTTTGGCCAATTCTTTATTTGTACAAATGTTGAACTCAACAACATTATGATCACTGTTCCCAAGCGGTGCAATCACTGTTCCCAAGCGGTGCAATCACTGTTCCCAAGCGGTGCAATCACTGTTCCCAAGCGGTGCAATCACTGTTCCCAAGCGGTGCAATCACTGTTCCCAAGCGGTGCAATCACTGTTCCCAAGCGGTGCAATCACTGTTCCCAAGCGGTGCAATCTTCATTCTCTCCCATCAGGCATGGAGGGCACTTAACACTACATCCCCCTCCAAAAATGCTGTTATGTCAGCAGACATCCTAATATCCCTTGCATACACTCAGTATTCTAATATACTATTCTGAAAAGGAAATACACTAAAATACATTAAAATACAGAGGATCTATAGTCCTTGTTGAGAATACATATGTGAGGACTGAACGAGTTAGCATATGTAATGAGATAAAAAACCAATATCCCTGTTGAGTCCTGGGGAGGTTTTTGTTCCAAGTGTTGTAATAACTTGTAATTCAGCAATTTCCATTTCCATTCTGTTTCTGAAGTTCCTTTGTAATAAAACAGCTACTTTGAGGTCACCTAGGAGGTTGAAGTGTTTCCTACAGGTTTCTCAATCTTGTGATTCCTGATGTCAGATTTGTGTCCATTTCTTCTCTGGCGTAGGGTTTGTCCTGTTTGTCCTATGTAGAGAACCGAAGGGCATTGTTGACATTTAATGGCATGCACAATGTTAGAAGATGAGTAAGTGAATGAGCCTCTGATGGTGTAGTTGGTGCTGTTAGGTCCAGTGATTTTGTTGTCTGGGTGTATATGGCAGCAAAGTTGGCATCTGGGTTTATTGCAAGCTCAGGCATGGCCATTGGTACAAGCTGAGGAGTGAGAGCCAAAGGGTGAGAACTACTGGACTCTTGGGCCTTTGGCTTTTAGCTTGTGGCTCACGGGTGGTACCTGTGAATGAACCAGCAATTGATTTCTGATCCTGACCCACTCAAGCCACATATGCGTTTGTTTCTTTTTTTTGCTTATGTATATTGAATTTCTTTGTTGTTGAAGGGGGTGATGGTGCTGCTGGTGAGAAAATCAGGATATAAATACTTAAATAACTAAAAAAAAAGGTGAAAGGTTTGTGAAATGGTTAGGGAAAAGTCTTCAGGGTTGGAAGGACTGATGTTGTCAACCAAAAAACACACACAAGAGGTCTCAGTTTTGAGTGATACTGTAAAATGATCCAAGGCTCCAAGGCTGGATTCCACAAAGATCCAAAAGAATGACTCCAGGCTAGATGGCTTTGAGGGCTGGTTCATAAATAGATGCTGACCACATGATGACTCCAGCACTAGGGCTGCCAAGTGGGGGCGGGGGCAGGTAAACCCCCACTTTGGAGGCCTGATTTCCGCCGCCGCGGAATCGGGCCCTGGGGGGAATCCCCCCCCCCGAAGCACAACGTGGCTGCGTCACCAGAGGTGACGCAACCATGTTGACCACGTTGGGGGCGTGGCCCGGATCATCGGAGGGAAAACTCTATGGTGGCCATGCCCTCAACGTGGTCGATGTCGCACGTCGATGTCCCCCGCCAGTGAGTTTTTTTTACTTGGCAACCCTATCCAGCACTGAGTGAAATTTATGTATGAATGAGCCATCGTGGACCAGACATCTTCAACAGAACTTTCATGAACACACAAAGGTGTTTCACATCCTATCAGACCATTGGTCTACCAGGGTTCATATTGTCTATTAACAGCAAATTTCTAGGGTCTCAGATAGAGGTCTTTCACATCGCCTGATCTGAGACCTGATCCTTTCTTAACTTGAGATGCCAGGAATTGCACCTAGAACCTTCCTCAGGCTGACAGGCCCCCGCTGGGCATGGGGGATCCCCTGCCCCATGCTCCCAATTACTGCTGCAGCTGCTGCCACCAGTGGAAGAAAAAATGACCTTTAAAAAATGCCATTGCTGACAGTGTGACATATCTTTCAGGAAACACCTGGAAGTAATGTCAGTCCTCTCTAGGAATCATAGAATATGATGTATGTTCAGTGATGTTTCCCTCTATCCCACCCCCTGCAAACAATATGCTTTGATAACCACTCAGCACAGTGCAACTAATGCTAGTTCACATAATACGAGTTAAGCACCAGAAGTGCAAACCAATCGAGGTAAAGAAGTATACGAGCATAAAGAAAATACCTTCTGAAAGTAAACCTCTCATTGATTCTCAAGTCACAGATACCATTTAGGCTGATTCCGCAAAAAAATGTGTTCTTGATCCTTATTTTTTAGGATCAAGAAGATGCAGGGGAAATTGGGGGGAGATGCAGGTCAAAATGCAGCCACGGAGTAAATAGTGGGAAATTGAGCAGTACAAGCGGGGGAAACGGGAGACCGAGGGCGCAATAACTTCTTTTTTGGAATCAGTCTTAGTGAGTTCAGATGGGCTGCTAGAGACATGGTCTGATTCTGAGTAGTGACAGAGGAGGTAGGTGAATTGAGTCCATATTCTGATGAGATATTTGGGCAATCTTGTTGCATATTGTTGATCACCTTTCTCGTTCAGACATTGTGCTGATTTTTGTTTTAAGTGTTGTTTTGTGTTATCTTTAGGGTCTCATGATTCGTTTAGCTTCTACATCGATGAAGCCTCTCCAGTTGGACCCGAGCAACCAGAAACTGTCCAGAACTTTGTCTCCGTGTTTGGAACTGTGGCTAAAAAGCTGATGAGAAAATGGCTGGCAACACAAACGATGAATTTTACAAGCCAGCTGGCAGCAGGTATACGGTATTTTGATCTCAGAATCTCCACAAAGCCCAGAGACCCTGACAATGAACTCTACTTTGCTCATGGTCTGTTCAGTGCCAAAGTCAATGAAGGTCTTGAGGAGATCAGTGCCTTTCTTGCTGACCATCATAAGGAAGTGGTCTTCTTGGACTTCAACCACTTCTATGGAATGCAGAAATGTCACCATGAAAAACTGGTCCAAATGCTCAAAGACACTTTTGGGAGTAAAATGTGCCCTGCTATATTTGCTCATGAAGTTTCTCTCCAGTACCTCTGGGAGAAGGATTACCAAGTGTTGGTATTTTATCACAGTCCAGTGGCTCTGGAGGTCTCATTTCTGTGGCCAGGACAGATGATGCCAGCGCCATGGGCAAACACCACAGACCCAGATAAACTGATCCAGTTTCTCCAGGCATCAATCATTGAGAAAAGAAAGAAGGGCTCTTTTTTTATATCTCAGGTGGTGCTGACCCCAAAGGCTAGCACGGTGGTCAAGGGGGTCACCAGTGGTCTCAGAGAAACCATCACAGAAAGGTGAGTGGTTACAAAGACCAAGATCATTCAGGTAAATGACATTTTTCTCTGTTGGCTCTGTTAGCTCAGCCTATTAGCAGAGGTTGAAGAACATCCATTTCCGATTTTCTGTCCTTATCGTATATGATGTTTTATAGGCCAACTTAGAGGTAATGGAGAAAAACTAAAATAATAGATGGTTATTTTACCTCGCCCTGATCTGGATGGCACAGGCTAGCATGAGCTCATCAGATTTTGGAAGCTAAGCAAGGTCGGTCCTGTTTAGTACTTGGATGGGAGACCACCAAGGAAGTCCAGGGTTCCTATGCAGAGGCAGGCAATGGCAAACCACCTCTGACCATCTCTTGCCCTGGAAACCCTACAGGGCAGCCATACGTCAGCTGCAACTTGATGCCACTTTTCACCACGGTAAGGAGTTATTGGCATTAAACCAGATGCTGAATGTTTTTGAGGACTGTTTTTTGTTTTTTATTTACTATTTTATTTTATTTCGTTTCGAAATATATACCCTGTCTTTCTGCCCTCACAAGGGCCAACAAGAGAGCTGACAAAACATACGCAATAAAATCACCATTAAAACATCATTAAAACAACTAAAAACAGAGCTAAAATATGCAGAACCACATAAGGACCGCCTTCTCCCATGTGAACCTACCCACTTACTCCAGTCATCCTCAGAGACCCTGTTTCTGTTGCCCCTGTCATCTGAGGCTAAACAAATGGTGACCCGAGAGAGGGCTTCCTCCATCATGGCCCCAAAGCTTTGGAACTCCTTCCCCAAGAGGATCTATCTGTCTCCATCTATTGGTGTCTTTCGCCAACAGGTGAAGACTTTTTTGTTCCATCTGACATACCCCCAGTAACATTTTTTGGCCCTCCTCCTAGTCTTGTTTTGTTTAAATGTTCCAACGGTTTTGTTTGCTGCCTTGCGGACCCAGATTGGGTAGAAAGGTTGCTTCCAAGCATCACTTAGGTAGTATACATCCTATGTGTGTGTGTGTCAGCTGGGAAAAATGTTTTAAAATACTTTTCTAGTAAGGCAACCGTTGCTGCAGGCATTGATTTTTTTCCCTTTCCCTTGTGCGATTTAAATTCTGTTTCTTACCACATTATTGGGAGAAAATAGGACAAGATCAAAGTTCAAGAGCTCAGTTGAGCTTGGAGTAAATCTGTGTCAAAAGGCTTTTTCTTTGTATTTTTTTTCCTTTTTGGAATCTGCCCTTATCACTAATGAATGTATTTCAAGTTCCAGCGAATAATCATGCATGAATACCTGAAAGATTTGACTTGTGAAGCAGTGACTGGTATTTCACGTTTGAACCACGCAATGTGAACCTTAAGGGAGTTATGGGATGGTTGTGAATGGTTGTGTGAGTGTATATGAGTATGGTTGTAGATCACCGAATGATTGCATCTTAATTTCGTTGTACTATGTACAATGACAATAAAGTATATTATTATTATTACAAGCTGCAACAAAACATTCTCAATCTCTATCCACTTTCCCTCTCTAATTGGATGTCCACCTGATTTCCCAGAGACCCACTTTTAATTTGATGTAATTGGTAGAATACGTATATTCTTTTAAAGTCTTTAAAAGTAATTACTGTATCCTCTAGGGTCAAACCTATAAATCGGACTATATGGTAACTATTAACTGCCATGAGGGGTCATTTTGGGGGGGGACGCGGGGGGACGCCATCCCCCCGGGTGAGGTGTGGGAGGGCGGGGCCTGGAGCTCCCTGCTGGTGCCCGCTGGAGGTCGCCGCCGGCTGTGGGGAGGACACACTTCCGGTGATGTCAGGGGGTGTGGCATATGCTAATAAGTTATGCTAATGAGTCCCCCTAGCTCTTTTTCTACGAAATGACCCCTGCATGAAACAGAGGCCATACCGAAGGGACACTACCAACAGGTATCTTTATTTCAACCTCAACGATAGATCAGGATGAAATTTGGAACTGAAGTGGTCCCTAACAAGAGCACAGCTCAACTGGAACTGGAAAACAGATCTGCTCTTGCTGAGAGGCTGCATTCAAGAGCTCCCTACTATGAGAAGCCAGAAGGGCCAATATACCACTAATGTTCCCATTTTCTTTCTACATTATGTCACAAAGGCCACTTCCACATAGGTTGTTTTCCTTGGGTTTGATGCTGTTGGGAAGCAGGTTTTCTTCCTGCTTCCCCACAGCATCGCGGTGGATTTGTGACTCTCCCAAGTGCAACTGGTGTAAATAACCCACTTGTTAAGGGAAGCATTCCTTTTAAAACAGACACATGGAAACAAAGGGGCTGTTTGCCTGCTACAAAGCAACACATTTAACCACTAAATCACAGGCCTATGAGATTGCTATTCTCTTTGATACCTGATCTCTGGAGATTAACAGCCAACTGGCTATAGAAAAGTCAGAAGTTTATATATTTTTATATATTCCAGGTGTCACGTTAAAACTTTGTATCCAAGCCAAAGATAACTCCTGTTTATCTTTTAAGATTTTTTTTTATTTAAAATCAGTCTAATCATGCTTGAAATGAGTAAATATGAAAGAATCACTATGATACAAAAGATATTTGCAGGTGCACGTGAAATCAGAAACAGAAATACATACATATCCTTTATTCTAGCTGTCCTGACTTGGATGACACTACTTTGGAAGCTAAGCAGGGTCGGCCCTGGTTAGTATTTGGAGGGGAGACCACCAAGGAACTCCAGGGTTGCTATGCAGAAGAAGGCATTGGCAAACCACCGCTTGAACGTGTCTTGCCTTTGAAAACTCTGTGGCGTCACCATAAGTTGGCTGTAACTTGATGGTACTTTACACATACATCCTAATTATTTTAAGATAAAATACAGTTTCTGAGATTCCCACCAAAGCGCGTTCAGAAAGATTGGATGGTCTTATGTAGCCCATATGTGACAGATTCAAGAGCATTTTGGGTGCAGCAGTTTTATATAGGCCAACTACATGAAACCCTGGAGCTGCGGTGGCTCAAGTGGTTAAGTCACTGAACTGCAGGCTGTGGAAGGTCGGTAGTTCAGCAGTTCGAGACCCGAGTGTGCCGCATGACGGAGTGAGCTCCCGTCTCTAGTTCCAGCTCCTGCCAACCTAGCAGTTCGAAACCAAGAAATTGCAAGTAGATAAATAGGTACCACTTCAGTGGGAAGGTAACAGTGTTCCGTGCGCCTTGGTGTTTAGTTATGCCGGCCACATGACCACCGAAACGTCTTCGGACAGCACTGGCTCTTCGGCTTTGAAACGGAGATGAGCACCGCAACCCTAGAGTCGGATTTGACTGGCTTTCGAGCAAGGGAACCTTTACCTTTACCTTTACATGAAACCCACACAATCATAACAAAACCTTCCAATTTATCATGACTGCTAGTTTGAGGTGAGCAATTCCTTGAAATTAGAAGAAATATCCCATAGAATTATATGTATCAAAACTGTGCACTGTTAGATCAACTTGTTCAGAGATCCGTCTATTCAAACTTCTCTCTTCTCCAGGGATGGAACATAGAACATAGCTGAGAAACTAAAACGTGTACATGTTTTGCAATTTGGAAACTAAAGCAAATTGTTAGGCTTGCTGTTTGTTCAGTCGATACCTTTAACAGACAAGGGTCTGCAAGATAGGGGTTCCTCGGCTTTCCCCAAGTCTTTCCCAAACTGACTTTGTTTTGGGAAAGATTGCAGCAAAGCTTGAATGACAGCTGTGTGGACAGCGATGTCTGGATGTTCTTGGTCTTGACTGCAGAACTATGGGATGCTTTTCCAGTTTGAGGTAGTGGTTCAGAGGGTGGACTCTAATCTGGAGAACCAGGTTTGATTCCCCACTCGTCCACATGCATCTGCTGGTGTGACCTTGGGTCAGTCGTAAGTCCTTTCAGAGCTGTTTTCTCAAGGGCAGTTCTCTCAGAGCTCTCTCAGCCTCACCTACCTCACAGGGTGTCTGATGTGGGGAGGGGAAGGGAAAGGAATTGTAAGCCGCTCTGAGACTCCTTCAGGTAGTGAAGGGCAGGGTATAAATCCAATCCCCCCTCCCCCCCTTCTTCTTCTTCTAATTCCATACACATATTAATAAGATTATTTTCTCTCATAATATCGTCCTTCCTTTAATCCACTTGGTCTCCTAAGGTACGGCTGTTTCATATTACAATGAAACCACAATTGTTGCCTTGGTCTTAAAATCCTGACTCAGTAACGTTGTAGCTTGGGGGTGAGGCTGCCACTGGTTGAGTCTTCACTCTCTTGAATTAATGCAGTGTGTGTTATTTATCATTAAAAAAATCATACTTCCATTGAAGTAGTTAGCTAAAGTGTAAGTACGTCCTTGAAAGTTAAAACTCTTCCAACAGGATTTTTATTTCTTGACATTCCCTGCATAGCCTCTTCAAACTATTCCTGTTTTATTACTTTCCCAAACAAATTTCTTTCTTCATATATTTATGATGTGGATTCCAGGATAGTGCTTATTTGCTGTGTTGCAAGTCTTGAAATGTACATTTTTTTACGGTATTCCTCAGTGATATTGTTTTTCCCTGTTCACAAACTATTCCTTCAGAGGTTGGCACTGAAGGAACTATTACACTGTAATCCTCAGAACACTTTCCTGGGAGTAAGCCACATTGAATAGCCCTGAGTAGGATTATGAGTAGACGTGCTTAAAATGGTGCTAATAAATTGCTCTTTTTGCTGTTTTATTTCACAGGTTAACATCTTCCTTGTTTTATTATCATAGTAAAACTGTCTTTGGTTGGGAAACATGAATGGCTTTTCTATTTCCCTTGCATCTAATAGTAGCATCTGCTCTTTACATACCCTCAGGTCTCTTTTCATTCCTTGCTAAACCTTAATCTTTATTTCATTTTGTAATTTTCTAAACCTCATATGTTACTTTTCTCTTATCTCTACCTTTTTTCATTTTATGTATGGGTGGAGAATGATATAAAATACCTTCTCATATGAACTGCAAATTACTCCCACGCTGTCTAAATATGAAC